CTGTTCCTGATACTGTTGTTGTTTCCATATCTAGACCCTGAGCCTTTCTGGACTTGGTTCCTTTCCTCAAAGGCTTGCCAGCTTCCATAGTTCCATTTTCTACCACAACAGAGTGATTTTCATGCCCAGTGACCATACTTTCCCCGAGACTTCTAAGCTCTTGGATCATAGGGGACGAATGGTCCTCAACATGGTTGACATGATGGTCCACTAACATAATTGTATCTGTCGTAGGCAGAGCTTCTAAATCAGCTGCCTTACTTCTGCTTTCCCCATTGCCAATACCAGTGTTGCTTTCCCTAAGATGTTCTGTTCGAGATGCTGTTGATGTTTCCACATCTGGACCCTGAGCCTTTCTGGACTTTCTTTTCCTCATAGACTTGCCAACTTCCACAGTTCCATCCTCAATCCCAACAGTCTGATTTTCATGGCCAGTGATCCCACTCTCCCTGAGATTACTAGGCTCCTGGATCATAGGGGAAGAATGCTCCTCAACATGCCTGGCATGCTGGTCCACTGGCATATTCACATCCTTCACCTGTTCAGCTTCTGAATCAACTGCTTCATTTTTGCTTTCCCCACTGCCAACACCGGTGTTGCTCACATCTTCCCCTACAAAATGCCACCAGTAACATCAGCAAAATATCCTCATTAAAGTTCAAGAAAAGAAGGAGACAGAAGAATAAAGTGTAAATTAAAGAAAAACTTTGTACTATTACTTTCAAACTCACCAATTGATTGAGGCAATTTTAGTGTTTCCTCAACTTCTTTTTCTGAAGAGATTACACCAACCATTTGACTAGGATTTGGTGCCTGTTCTTCTCTTTTCCTCTTCCTACCGCTTGCAGTGTGTGTCAACCTGTCGTTTTCCCCCAATGGTTCAGTATTCTCTAAGATTGCAATTTCCCTTTCCAGATTTTCTTGTAAGGAGCAATTGGAGGTTGTCATCTCTTGTTGCCTTGAGGTCCCATTAACAGCATCGGATGCTGACACTCCATGATCTATTAAAGAACTATCATTGCCACCTGTCTTCTTAACTTGGCATGAACCAAACCGTTCAGCAATAGGAATCAGTTCCTGATGCTGTTTGTCTGCAAGTTGCAGCAATAATGAATCATCAATGTTGGACAACCTTCTGGAAGGACCATCAGGCAGAAGATCAACCACATCAGCTAAATAATTATTATTTGTGATGTCATAATGGGCAGCTTTGTTTCTAGAATCAGGTTTGCAGGAATGACTAATTTCTTTCTGACCCTTCACACTTGAGGCGTCACCAAAAAGAAACCAACTTTTACTGACCCCCTCAAAAGCACTTTTAACAGGCATTAAATCTGAAAGGTAATAGAAACATCCTCTACGCTTTACCTGCCATGTTTACAAAACCAGAACAATTAGCACCATATTCATGGTTCAGCATGACAACAACCTTCAGGTGCATGAGACATATTTATACCTTTAAAGCATGAACCTTTATCTCCCCAATGTTGGGAAAGCACAATGCGTGTTCATACACTATCTTTTCTGGATATCCACAACATGCAAATCGTCATTTCAAATAGAAAGTAACAAACTGAAAGGATGATAACAAAATTCAATACAATATACAACTCTTTTAAGTGGCAATCTATTTAAGTAACAAAGCATAAACCCATGTCAAAGCATAAACCATTAACTTCCTTTAGATGGCCCAATTCTCAAAATTGAGTTACATCCAAGCTCCAAAGCATTTATACACGGATTACTCACTACTTTGCATATGGCCTAAATGGGCATCCCAGTTATATATATTAATTTTCAATTCAAGTTTTGTTCTTTCAGCTCTGGAATGGATGTTCATATCATGGATAGTTCATTGATACATCATAACATCAACAAATATTATGTTTCGCAGTCTATTCCAGCATCAAAGACTAGAATAACCTGCCAACTACCTAAGTAACTAATTGGTAATCTCCTTCTGGAAGAAGGAAGAGATACGGAGCTTGACTCCCATGGCACCGTTGGTGTGGTGGATTATGGGAAGGGCAAAAGTTACCTCCCATTAAAACGAAAAAAACACCTAAGTAAATTACAAATTTCAAGTTTTCAAACTATCTGTGGCTGTGCAATGACAACCAAAATCCAGTACCCACAATGGAATTCTATAAACAAAACATTGAAGATAAAGCATTCAAGCCAAAAAGGCAAAAATTATAATTACTTTTTAGATCGGAAACAGTATCGGAATCGGGGACGATCATTGCCAGGTGGGTTTCGAGGTTGGTGTCAATAAAAACAGTGTTGTGAGCGGTGGTGGCAGCGTATTCAGAGCCAAACCCGGCCTTGTCCATTGGTTTTACTCGTTCCCGACTCAGTAAGGTATTGAGAAATAAAAATGATCGTTAATGCCTTTTGGATTCTGGGTTTTTACTCCGTTCGGCGGAACTGTAGAAAGACGGCGTTATTTGCCTATGGCGACATGGACATGGAAAAGAGTGCTCGAAGGTGGAAGACAACACCTTTTACGTTGAGTCAGCTCAGCACCCCTCCGAAAAAGCTTCTCAAGTATCAGGTGGACTGGTATTGGGCCAACGAGTCTGAATTGTGCAGATTGGGTTTTGTATCATGTGTGGGCTTTGACTAATAACATCTAAGCCCATAGAAGATTGATATATGCTGCCAATAACAACATAGCACCGGTCAAACTAACTACTCTCTTCCGAGTGAAAGCATCGCGATTTCATTTAAACAAAATTTTGAATTCGAGTTTTATGAATTAAAAAATAGATATCAGAAAAGTTTCTTCTTTAATAAGATCCAACGTGACTCGATTTTATATTAGTCGGAATCCAATATGATTACCGAACACTAAGAGGTTAATACCAAAAATTAAAAAAAATAACTAACTACTCTCTTTATTTTAAAATAATAGGGATTAATATTTATCCGTCTTACTTTCAAAAAATTAAAAAAAAAACATATAGAACATATAAAAAATACCCTAATTCATACTTTAAAAATATGATATTTTAGTCTTTTTCAATGTGTTTATTAAAATGATTTAGTTTTGAAATAATACTCCTCTTAATTTTTAAGAAATATAGTGAATAAACATTATTCCTAAATAATAAATATTTTTTATTTAAAATTTATTTCAAAATAATAAAACTTATTTTTTATATTTTAAGACAATTTTTTTTAGTTTAATCTTATGATTATCGCTTATTTTTAATTTTTTATTTTTTATTTTGTTTAAAAAAAATAAAAATTATTTCTAAATTCTCAATATGAAAACAAAAAGGCGTACTATTCTCTCTGAGTCCAAAAGAATAGCATTGTTTGGCTTGAAAGAAGCATGTCAAGTAAAACTTTTGCGGTATCAAAATCATTCAAAAGGATTAGTCCTTGCAGACTCTTAACCATCCAAACAAGAAAAAGAAGTAAAACTTTCGTTGAAGTGACTCCTTGACTTCAAATTAAAGATTTTAAGTTTAAACTTTGAAACAACTAAAAAGAAATTCCTTCTTATACATAGGTCACACATTAGATTTAAATACATAAAATAAAAATAAAAAAAATAAAAATAAAAAAAAGAAGAAGAAGAAGAAGGGCAGCTCTTCTTGCTTTTTGGAGAACTGCTTCTGTTACACTCCTACTTTCTAGAGCGGGGATGACATTTTAAAAGCTATGCCAAACAAACACACTCATGAGCACCAAATGCAGATTCTCATAAACAAAAACATTTATTACTCCAGGTAGTTCTTTCTTCCTTATCCCGACACTGAGTTTGGATGCCAAGACTAGGAGAAAAATAAAACACCAATAACATTATCAGAGAAAATATCAAAAGAAAAATGAAATTTAACAGTAAAATTATGGGGAGATAAATGGAAACTAGTCTAGTACAATTCTGAAGTTGAAATAAGCATGGAGCTCATTCAAGCCAACCTCCACTAACAGATAGCATGAACAAACTGGACCTAGCACCCTCTATTCCGTCTTCCTGGAGTCTTTAAGTAGTCCTCTCTTTCGGATTTTAAGACAGAAGGGCAGGCGCCAAGCATCAATTGCACTCTCTGGTAATAAGGATGCCAACGCCCAGAGAAGAGAATGGGGCCAGTAGGGGGTGCAACGAGGTTCATAACCTATCCAGCGCATAGCTGCCTTGGCATAGCAATCACTTGACGGAACAAAGAAGGAGGATCGCCTGATTGATGCCATCTTGGTTGCTACATATAATGGAACCTGCATCAAGGAAACCCCACGCTAGGTCAGATAACCAAAACAAAACAAACTTGTCTACCTCTAGTACCTTTAGAGCTACCAAAGTTTGAATAGAGAACCGATTTGTTACTCTTCCTGAAAAAGTCTTCAAAACTAAATGCTATTCATTTTTGTAGACATTAATAAAAACCACTTTACCAAACTAAACATTTTCACGTCTCTCCTATTGTGCCAATAAAAGCAAAACTGTGGATACTAAACATTACCAAAAAAACCTTCCGCTACTAAGATTATAAGTGGTAGTCAAGACATAGGCTAACTGTTTTCATGGTGATTTAGACACATGGTCAAGAGTTATGAGAAATGCATTCATTTGTTAGTGTCTGTATCACTGACACATGTCATCCCTTCTACTCAATTCATTACTATGAATTCCATCTACTTTGTGCTTATCATAGAAACAGTCCAATCATTTGAATAAGGGGAAATGAAGCCAAAATAAGAATTCAGTAGGCCGGGACAACAAAACAATTCAAATTTCTTTTATAATGCCATGAAGAGGAAATAAAGCAGAAGAAACTAATAAAACATATCAGCTGCTGCACATAATATATAGTCCTCTCAATTTGCACCTGCTAGCTAATTCAATTCATCTTACTGACATCACATGGTTGACATTATATTTTATAAGGAATAGGGATATTAAGAACTAATTGATTAGTCTTATAGGAATCATGTGATTTCCAAGTAATCGAGCACAGTAAGCACACCTGACACTGAACGTCAATCCCACTTTTCTTGTATTCAACATAGAGGCATCTTGAGAATTGATCAATATACCTGAAAACAAACCACAGGCTCCTTTAGCTGCTAAACAAATCAAATTGCTCCACACACTAAAATTTACTCACCACTCCACAACAAAGAAAGGAACCACCTTTGGTTTAACCTCACTTTCAAGCTGAACCCTATCTTTACAATTTCTTAATAAAATACTTAATAATTTTTATTTTCAGCAGAAATCCACAAACTCATGAAACTCAACATTAAAAAGATCCAAGATCCCTCACAAATTTAGTGAAATTTACATGACGGTTCCTATTTGAATTTAACCATAAGTAAGCTCAATTCATAAACAGAAATGAGACAAGCGGAAGTAAAGAAAAACACTTACGCTTTGGTGGCAGCATAAACAGCATAAAGAGGATCAGAGGGAATAACAATTGCAGCACCAGAGCCGATATTCACAATTGCACCCTTCTTCCTCTTCAACATTCCAGGCAAAACAGCCTGAGTAACCTTGCTAGTACCCTCCACATTCACCTTAATCAGGTTCTTCAGCAGCTCCTCATCCACCTCATGGAAAAACCTTGCATACGGATACGAAACCCCAACATTATTAATCAAAACACCAACATCCAACCCCTCAATGGCTTCCTTTATCCTCTTCACACCCTCATCAAGATCCCCACTGAAGTCAACAACCACAGTCTTGATCTGAACCTTCCCATACTTAGCCAGGATCGAATCAGAAACATCTTTGAGCTTCTCCCGGTTACGACCCACCAAGACAAGATTAAGCCCTTTCCTCGCCAACTGAAAAGCAAAAGCCTTGCCGATACCATCAGTAGGCCCGGTTACCAGTGCCCACGACCCGTATTTCTTCAGATCCTTGGCGGGTCTGAGCAAATTGACCCAGACCCATATCAGGAAAGCAAGAGAGAACTTCAACAACGACAAAGAACCCACTGTGAACAAAACCAGAACCCAGTAAGGCTGACCCGTAAGGGTATGGATTAAACAGGATCCCATGAATGCAGGGAGAGTTTACTTCTTCGAATTTTAGTCAGAACGTAACGATCTGAAGAAATGGGTATTGGTTGAAGGAGATAAATATAGTGAAAAACAGCAAAATTTGGGGGTTTGGTTTAGTTTGGTTTGGGTGGATGGATCTGGACATTGATTTGGATGGAAGAAGGAGTGGTATCCAGGAGTAAACAACACAAAAGTTAGGTTCGGCAGAGACAGATGAGCATTTAATTGGTGAGAAGGAAGCAGAGTCTCTTACTTGCAGCAGGGAAGGAAGGAGAGGGAAGTAAAGAAGAGGGAAGGAGAGGTGGGTGAAGTAGATAAACAGAAAACCACCGCAATTAACCACTTAGCCTCTCCCGTCGTAAGGATACTTAAATAATTTTAAGGAGATTTATTCTGAATATTTTGTTTTATAATTTGAATTATTTTAAATTATAAAATATAAATTTTTTTTTATTTAAGAGGAAGCCTTTTTTTTTTTTTTTTTTTTTTTACATATTTTGCGATTGGATTTCGAAACCTGTCTGAGAGAAATACAC